AGCTCCCAGGTGCCTCCTTGCCCATCGCTCCTACTCTCTAGACGCGTCTCCATCTACTGAGGCACCTACCACACTACATTGTCCCTTTTCATTCTCCTCTTTCAGTAGACCACATGACTTTAGGTCAGGACAGTGCCTGGAACCTAGCAGGAGGAACTGAACTCTCTGAGTGTGTGTGTGTGTGTGTGTGTGTGCGCGCGCGCGTGCACGACTGAACAATAAAAATAAAGGCACAGTGGGATCCAACAGCCTGGAGTGTTAGAAGTGTGACTATACCTCCATGACTGGAGCATAGGGTCTTCACGAAGAATTCAGTAGATGAGGAAGAAGGAGGAGCAGATCATTAAGGGCTTCATATGTCATCCTAAGGAGTTTGGGTTTTATAGTGTCAGTGATGGAGAGACAGTAAAGACTTTCGAGTAAGAGAATGGCTAGCCGTTAGCATTTCCCAAAGTGTTAGACATTATTAATGTTATGGAAAAAGCTTGGATATAAAATAAGTTTGGGAAATACTGGGTTAAACCAAGTTGAATAGATTTCTGTTCTTCTGGACTTCTCAGAGTCTTCACTGTGCTAACGTACACTTTTAACCCTCCAAAAGAGGTGTTTGTGTGTGTTATTTAATTCCCAGATTTATTTCCCAGATTTATTGATCATGGAACCCTTTGGGGACTGTGTTATAGAACACAGTTTTGGAAATGGACACTGGGGGACTAGCAGTTGAGGTCTCGCGCACTTCAGATCGAAAGACACGCACGGAGTAAAGGTACGGAAAAAGAGGTGGAATGGAGATGGAAAAAGGAAGCTTGGTAGCAATACTTATATCACACGAAACAGACTTTAAAGCAAAGGCCGCCACAGGAGACAAAAAGGATATTTCATAATGATAAAGGGATCAATCCAATAAGAGGATTAGCTCTTGTAAACATCTACGTACCCAGTGCTAAATATATAAAGCATCTATTGATGGACGTAAAGGGAGAGATCAACTGTAATATAACAATAGTAGAGACTTTAACACCCCATTGACATCAAAGTAGAGATCAATTGATGTAGACAGAAAATCAAGAAACAATTATACCGGATAGATTTAATTGATATTTTTAGAACATATCACTGCAGATCAGCAGAACATATATTCTTTCCAAGCACACCTGTAACATTTTCCAGGATAGATCACACGTTAGGCAAAAAAAAACAAGTCTCAGTAAGTAAATTCAAGAAGATTGAAATCATATCAAGTGTCTCCGATCACAGTGGTATGAAACTAGAAATTAGTTACAAGAAGAAAACTGGAAAATACGTAAACACATGGAGATGAAATAACATGTTACTAAACAGTGAATGGATAAACATGAGAACAAGGAAGAAATCAGAAGATAGCTTGAGACAAAAGAAAATGAAAACACGGTGACCCCAAATCTATGGGACACAGCCAAAGCAGTCTTAAGAGGGAAGTTCATAGCAATACAAGCCTATCTCAAGAAAAAAAAAATCTCAAGTAAACAATCTAACCTTACACCTAAAGGAACTAGAAAAAGAAGAACAAACAAAGCCCAAAGTGGGTAGAAGGAAGGAAATAATAGGAAATAATAAAGATTAGAGCAGAAATAAACAAAATAGTCTAAAAAACAATACAAAAGATCAATGAAACCAAGAGCTGGTTCTTTGAAAAGATAAATAAAATTAGAAATGAAAGAGAATAAGTGACAACTGATAATGCAGAAACAAAGGAGTATAAGAAAATACTGTGAACAATGACATGCCAACAAATTAGACTACCTGGAAGAAATAGATAAATTCCTAGACACATACAATCTCCAAGAAGAAACAGAATATCTGAACAGACCAATAACTACTGAGGGAATCAAATCAATAATCAAGGAACTCTTACCAAACAAAAGTTCTGGGCCAGATAGCTTCACAGGTAAATTTTACCAAACATTCAAAGAATTAATACCTATCTTTTTCAAGCTATTCTGAAAAATTCAAGAGGCGAGAAGGCTCCCAAATTCATTTTTCAAGGCCAGCATTACCCTGATTCCAAAGCCAGACAAAAACATTACAAAAAAAAAGAAATTAAAGGCCAATATTCCTGATAGACATAGATACAAAAATCCTTAACAAAATATTAGCAAACCAAATTCAGCAAGACATTAAAAAGATCATACACCATGATCAAGTGGGATTTATTCCTGGGATGCAAAGTTGGTTTTATATCTGCAAATTAATTAACATGATACATCACATAAACAAAATGAAGGGTAAAAATCATATGATCATGTCAATAGATACAGAAAAAGCATTCGACACAATCTATCATCCATTTATGATAAAAACTCTAAGCAAAGCAGGAATAGAGGGAACATACCTCAGTATAGAAGGGTATATATGACAAACCCACAGCTGACATCATACTCAACAGTGAAAAGCTAAAAGCATTTTCCTTAAGATCAGGAACAAGACAGAGACGTCCACTTTCACCACTTGTATTCAACATAGTATTGGAAGTGCCATCTGCAGCAGACATCAAAGGCAAAAAAACTGACATAGATCAATGAGACATAATAGAGAGCCCAGAAATAAACCCACAACTATATGGTCATTTAATCTATGAAAAAGAAGACAAGAATATACAATGGGGTTAATGCTACTGGGAAAATTGAACAGATATGCAAAAGAATGAAACTAGACCACTTTCTTATACCATATACAAGAATAAACTCAAAATGGATTAAATACTTAAATGTAAAACCTGAAACCATAAAACTCTCAGATGAAAATATAGGCAGTAAATTCTTTGATATTACTGTTAATATTTTTTGGACATGTCTTCTGGGGTAAGGGAAACAAAAGGAAAAATGGGACTACATCAAACGAAAGAATTTTTGCACAGCAAAGGAAACCATCAACAAATAAGAAAGGCAGCCTGTTGAATGGAGAAGATATTTGCCAATGATACATGTGATAAGAGGTTAATATCCAAAAATATAAGGAACACATACAACTTAATACCAAAGAAAAAAACAGTTTGATTAAAAAATGAGCAGAGGGCCTCGATAGACATTTCTCTAAAGGGAACATACAGATGGCCAATAGATATATGAAAAGAGGCTGAACATCACTAATCATCAGGGAAATGCAAATTAGAACCACAACGAGATATCCTCTCATACCTATCAAATGGCTGTCATCAAAATGTCAACAAAGACCAAGTGTTGGCGAGGATGTGGAGAAAGGAAACCCTCGTGCACTGTTGGTGGGATTGAAAATTGGTGCAGCTATGGAAACCAGTATGGAAGTTCCTTAAAAAGTTAAAAATAGAGCTACCGTATGACCCAGCAGTTTCACTTCTGGATATTTATCTGAAGAAATCCAGAAGACTAATTTGAAAAGACATGCTTTCCTATGTCCATGGCAGCATTATTTACAGTAGTCAAGATGTAGAAACAACCTAAGGGGCCATCCACAGACGAATGGATAAAAAAGAAGTGGTACATATATGACGGAATATTACTCAGCCATAAAAAAGAATGAAATCTCGCCACTGGCAACGACGTGGCAACAACAATACGCTCTGAACCGATAGCTCAGCGGGTATTACGCTAAGTGATTTAGTCAGGCAGAGAAAGACAAATATCATGTGATTCTACTTATATGTGGAATCTAAAAAATAAACGAACAAACAAAACAGTGTTGGGGGATAAGTGAAAAAAGGGGAGGGAGTAAGGTATACAAATTGGAATTTATAAAAACAGTCACGGGGATGCAGATTATAGCATAGAGAATGTAGTAATAACTGGATAATGTCAGATGGGTAGAAGACTTATCAGGGCGATCACTTCATCAGTTATATAAATGTCTAATCAGTATGGCGTACATTTGAAACTAATATTGTATGCAAACTGTAATTGAAAATGTTTAAATTATTTTTTAAAAAGCAACATTGAGGTCTTGAATCAGTTTAATGACAGGAGAGAGAAGGGTGAGAGCATGGGGGTTAAGTTGTGTCTCTCAGAGCACTTTCTCCAAAAGTAGCGACTAATCAGTATTCTTAAAAGATAATATGATGTGTGAGTTGTTACTGCCTGATCCAAAGACATTAGAACAGGCAGTGTGAAATGTGCTTTGAAATATCGCAGAGGCGAATGGTGGTGAAATGGTTCTGTTTACAACCCCACGAACTGATAGCTCAGCCCCAGCTCACTCCTCTTGTTACCAGAACCAGTGCGTGGCCTGGCTTGAACTCCGATGCACTTGACCATGAAGGGACAGATTCTAGACTGGATATGGTAACTCTTCATGTGTCGCTAAATCAAAGATGGTTGCCAGGATTCTGAGCTGGGCACCTCAGCAGATGGTGCTGTCACGAGATCAGTGATGGTGCTAGTTCTGGGGAGAAGATGCTCCATCGCTGTTGACATGATGATGAGTCAGAGCTGTCTGTGGGCCCTCATCGTGAAGAGGGCACCAGTGAACCATTGGTTATAGAGTTTGTACCTCAGCTGATCTGCACTGATCCAGACTTCATTTTACTTGCTGTGTCTCAGTTGCCGCATATGTTAGGGGTTGTGTGTGTCTTTTATGAGCTCATAAAAGATTAAAGTGCAGAGTGAAGACACTGCACATCCCTGACCCGACCTCCCATTGCGTTCCCACACGTCAGTCGCCCTGTCTCTCCACAGCTTCCCTACCATGTAAAGGTTCCACTGAAAACACTTTGGTGGAATTTTTTGAACTTCTGATTTTAGGAATGTTGAAACATAAACTGTTCACCCCTAAACAGAGCCTGCAATGGAGCCTGCAATGGCCCAGCAAGTATGAGGAAGATGCCTGATGCTTTGTAACCACACCAAGGGAAATCGTGGGGTTAATAATGCTATACATGTTTCTATTTCTCATTGCTTTGCAACCACATTGAGGAAAATCGCAGGGTTAATAATGCTATAACATGTTTCTATTTCAAGTGTAATAACAGTGTTCATTCATTTTATTTATAGCTCCAAAAGGAATTCTTCATTTGTCTCCTGATGTTTATCAAGAGATGGAAGCCAGCCGCCACAAAGTAATCTCTGGCACTACCTTAGGCTATTTGTCACCCAAAGATATGAACCAACCCTCCAGCTCTTTCTTCAGTATATCTCCCTCTTCGAATAGTTCAGCCACCGTTGCCAGGGAGCTCCTTATGAATGGAACATCTACAGCTGAAGCCATAGGTTTAAAAGGAAGTTCTCCTACTCCCCCTTGTTCTCCAGTACAACCTTCAAAACAACTGGAATATTTAGCAAGGATTCAAGGCTTCCAGGTATGAATTAAAAGCAAAAAACAAAAACAAGAAAACAAAACCGTTCATTAGCTTCAAATCCTTCATCTCTATCCATCAGAAAGCTCATTCTTGCCTGCTAGTGTGACCTTATGCCACTTACATTGTAAATTATTCGGAACACAGAGGACAGAAAAAGGAGAGCCGTGTGCACACACCTCATTGTCTTTTGTTATCAGTCTACCCAGTCATTCTTTTACTGCCTGGCTCTGCTCCATGTTCCTTTTTCTTCCCCCTCCTCCTTATTTTCAAAAACATTTTCATTCTCTGTTCTGTATTCCGGTTGGTCTTGATTGGGTGAATCTATCTCCACAAACAAAAACTCAGCCTTCATACCTCTGGTATGAGTTTTAAGCACTAAACTCTCCTTCCTTTTATAGTACGGTTGAGTTTTTCCAATGATGATTTTACTTGCACAGCAGCTTTGAATTTGACATTCTATCGATTCAGGCGTACTTAGGTACCACATCCTAGAAGTCCATTATCTTAGGGATTAATTAAACATGGCATTAGGACAATAATGAACTGCTTCCTAGTTGGAAGGCATAACAACATATATTTGTCTTACTAGATCGTGTTTTGAACCGTCTAGGCTGGCACCTGCCTCACTCAGATGTACTGACATTCTGTGTCACTGGGCAGTCTAAAACTAGCTTGTCGTCCACTTGTGTATATGAATTTGGGGATGGAAACTTTCTTTTTTTCCTATTCTTTTGGGGGAAAAAAACATCCAACGATCATTTAAGGATAGAAGTTTTCAAAGAATTGTTCATTCTAGGAAGAGGAAATACCCGTGTTCCGATTTCATAGTTGCCTTGAAAATTATGGACCGAAATGTAACAGCCGACTTAACCGGGTGAACAGCAGTGCGCCTGTGTGTAGGGGCGTCTGCTCCCTCAGATTTCACTGTTTTCATCCCCTTTTCCATCTTAGTCTTACTCGTTAAGACCAAAAACTGTAATTTCCTTTAGACATGCTCGAGAAGATCTGTATTATGTAGAATGATCACGTAGTCATAAAAATTTTACAAGTTTAGATACAAAATAAGAAAGAAGGTGATATGTTTTGGGGGGATTTTGCATGTGTTTTTTTTTTTTCCTTCACAGAAAATGGTTCCTTTCAAATCTGTTGCCAGGTAGTCATTAGCGTTTCTAGTTAGATTATTCATGTGAAATTAAAGAAACTGTTACCAATTAGTGGCTCTGTCATCTGAAATTTTAAACACTTAAAATTTTAGAATTTGGTTTTGTTGTTTATTATATGAATGACAATAAATCACTGTTCAAAATGAAAAAGACCTTGATTCATGCAGTTAGAGTACTGAGCAAAAGCTAAGTAATTTTTAGTTCTGTTTATGATCTGCATAGGGGGAACTAGAAATAAACTGAGAGGGAAAGAAACTCACTGCTTATTTACAAATCTAGTCATTTAGAAACACCTGAAAGTAACACCGTATTTTTATAGAAACAAAACACAAATTGCATTCAAGCTCCACATTGATTTTTTTCGTTCGGAGATGTTACTTTGTTGGATGTAACTTTGCTGCCAGAAGAACTACTTAATATTTTTAAATTCGTATTTATTTGTTAATTCTCGGCAATGACATCAATTATAATTTTAACATATCTTTACTTCAGTCAAAATAGAGAGTCTGTTTTCCCCATTGTTGGGCTGACTGCTCAGGCTTTTTTTTTTTAAAGCTTATCCAGAGATACTATACATTATTTATGGACAAGTTAAACATTTCCAAATTTGTGTGCTTTTTACATACTAATGAATATCAGCAGGTGGTTTTAAAACATTACTGTGCTGCTTTGGTCGAATGAGCTTGGTAATGAAGTGAAATATTGACCGTTTGTCGGATCACAATATGCAGCCGAGCAGTAAACAGAATCTTTGGGAAATAGCTTAGTGTCCTGTCAGGCGCATGGCATGTCTTCACAATGTCACAGTAGAAGGTTCTTTGTAGTTAAGACTTTTAAAGCCTTTTTCTTTATGGGCAACTTTCTCGGCTATATTTACCTGGTAGAAAAACACGTAGATTGTTTCTGTTTCTTGAATGTGTTAATTGGACTGTAGTTTAGAAATTATAGGGCCACATTGTTATGGATTATATGCTATTCTGTTATTTTTATTTCTGGAATTTCAAAACAATAAATTCTTTTCTGTGTTTCTAGGTTAGTACTTTTTTGTTATTGTACACTGAATAGATGTTATTGCTTATTGAATGTTGTATAAACCCTTCCATGGCCTTCTTTGGCCATTAAAATTTGATTTAAGCCTATCAGAGCCATTGTATGTGACAGCTATATTGTATTACAAAGTAAAATTATATTAGTGTACTGAAAACTAAGTTGTTTTAACTTTTAATTTTATTACCCAGTCTTTAATTAAAATTTATAAATTACACAAAGCTTATTTGCTCACCACAATGTAGGTATTAAGCTCCCATTCTTTTGCTTAAGTCTATAAAAATTTTTAAATTATTATACAATTAAAGTTATTAATAAAGCCGACTTCACAGAGCAGAATATGACTGAACATTTACATATTCTCGGTCATTCTTTCATCCTTGCTTGGGCTCACCAGAGTTGTTTTCATCACATTTTAGATGCAAGCTTTTGGATCTCCGTCATAAATGGATATTAGTTTTTTGAAGTTTTATTGAGTGTATTTTAATTATCCTTTTTAAAAATCTGAATATTCATAATGACTTATTTTCTAGAAAAATTTCAGTCATTAGTTCTGTGAATGTCAGACTTCATGCTTCAGTCAGCAGGCTTCCATAACTTCTGTGGATTTCATAAAAACTCATTTGAAATTATAGTCCTACCATAGCAGGCTTTTTGTTGTGTATCTTGATACTATTTAATTATAATGCCAAATGTTTCGACATCATTCAGCGTTTTAGAGAAAATTATTATAGGAAAGACATTTGAACTGAAGTAGAAGACTTTTTTGTTGTGTTATGATGTACATTTTTCTGTTTTTACATCTTTAATATGATTTCCCATACTAATTATATTAGAAATCTCTTTGTATAATTAAATATAAGCAATTACTGTATTTAAATTGGTCATTGGAAAATTATTATATTGGAAATGAAAATTAATTGCCGTCTTCCCTCGGTATCCGTGGGGGTTTGGCTCAAGTCCCTTATATAAAACGGCCTAGTATTTGCCATGTCCTATGCACATCCTCTCGGGTCCTTTAAATCATCTCTAGATTGAATATTATAATACCTAATACAATGTAAATGCTATATAACTAGCTATACTATATTGTTTAGGGACTAACGACAAGAAAAAAAACCTGTACAAATACCACCATCGTAGGCCTGACTACACAGTACACGTCAGCAGCAACTTAACTTTTTTTTGAACATTTTCAATGCATGGTTGGTTGAACCCATGGACGCGGAACCCACAGATATGAGGGCTGACTGTGTTTTAGTAAGTTATCCTTTCTACATGCGTTTACTTTCAGTTTGCTATTCTGTGCATCTCCTAGTGATCATCATCCTTTGAGCAGTATTGTTTTTGAAACCTTCAGAGTAAAATATGATAAAGTAGGTTTATTTTACTCAAAGAATGTGAAATAGCACTTAGTTGGTGTCTTAGGTAAGCCACAATTAGTTTGTGTTTTTTTTTTTTTTCTTCATATTTAAGGAGTGTTTTAAGAGTGGCTTTTCATTATGGTGTGTTTGAGATGTCGATGCCATTTCCAGCAAGATGAGAATGTCAGTAGAAGGCTTTGAAACATCTACTTAAAACTTTATTTTCGAATACAGTTCAAACTTAATGCATTTCTACTTATATGTCACTTTTTGTGAAGTTCAATATGATTATCCCAGGCAGACCTCTTGTATAGTTACAGGCTCCTTTTAAACATTTATTTTTAATATATGACAAGTAACATATTTTAACAGTGTGACCTTAGTGTATAGATTGCTTTGAGATGGGTTATGGAAGGGGCTGTTTAATCTGAGAATCAGCCTTTTTCTTTTCTCTTTTTTCTTTCTTTTACCTCACTTTTTTGTAATCCATATATTTATTATCAAATTGGCTATTTCCACTTTTTTTTTTTTTTGAGGAATAAGGGAGCCATTTTTTTTTTTTTTTAAATCAAAGATCAGTATAAGTGAAACCGTAGATTTCTGATAGGACAATATAGAGAAAGAAATCACACTTATGCATATGCTTCCCACTTAGAAATATAGTTTACCCAAATTTTACTTCGTTCTTGAAATTTAATTTACCACCTCATTTCTGAGCCCAAATTTTCATCTACTCAGTTACACAAACGTTTGCGTAAAGTGGTGAGAAATTAAAGTACAACGAGCAAAACGCATTTGTGAATTTGGTATGGGGTCAGCAGATACTTAAAAACCCGCTTAGATTTGGCCTTTTCTACTTTCCGAAGACCTTGAGGAGGTTGAGTTAGTATCTGAAGTCTTTTAAAAGTTTGGTCTTCCTCTAGTGACCCCAAAACTCAGGTTTGTTCTTCACATGGGCAGCCCCCGTTCATGCAAACTGACTTTTTGGTCTGTGGTATCTTTAGACCTTCATAAACTCAAAGGGAATGCAAACTGCATATCAGATGACTGTACTTCCATAAAAACCAGTGGAATTACAGCAGATCAACTCATTTTGCTAAAATTTCCAACTCTGTAGAGAAAAACATTACATTCGAAGAAAGAAATCCTAATGCATACAAAAACATTCTGAGCTAAGTAACAGTAACACAGGTAAGATTCAAGCAGGCTTGAGCAAAACTGTCTACTATTACTGCATAGACTATTCAGGGCTAACTGTGATGCCTGACATCACTGCAGAATATTGTCCTGGAACTCGAAGGACAAAGACGTTTGTCTTGAGCCTTGGCCCCAGCATATACAGAGTAAGACACATAAGATATTTCAAAGACAAAATCATATGCAAACCCGGAAGGAACCATTCCCTACCCACAGTGACTTTGATGTGGATCAGAAAAAAATGGCTGTCATCATGTGTCCCCCCCAAGTAGAAATATCTGTAGCTTTTTCAGTTTGTATCAGAATAGATTTTAGTTCGACATGAGAATTCTATCGAATTATTTGGAAATCAAGTCTTTGGAGACAAATAATTTATTTTCCTTCTAAAGGTGAATTGCATTTCCTTTTGCCAGAAAAGGTTGGCAGTGATGTGATTTTTACTTAGTGACATGAGATTAACTGCGGTGGCCATCTGGTGCCTTCCTGTCAGACTGGTATCTATATACGCATGCTCATTCTAGGTCATGTTGAAATGATCGATTTCCCTCTTTCCAGCATCCAGCAACATCTGACTTTTTCATGAATGACAAGGGCTTAAATTTCATGATTGTACTCTTCTTACCCAGGACAGCTCTGAGAAAGAGAAACAGTGTGTGGGAAACCGCATGTAAGGATTTATGCACACTGAAAAAAACTGCTGTGACACGCGAGGGCCGTGCTTCATTTAGGAGATGTCTGGGTGAACAAGGAGAAGAAACTGACACCCATCGACTGACTTGTTACGTATCAGAGAGTGAAGTAGACCAACTGGAAGTGCCTGGGACATTTCCGCTCACAAATCTTTTTTTTTTTAATCAACTATTTGTACAGTGTTTGAAGACTGGCTGTTCCCTGTAGGTAGGGCTAGTTTGTGGTGGCCGCCTGTGGTCTTCTGGATATTGTTTTGGATTAGTCATAGATTTCATTAACAAATTTATTTATGCCTTCAACTGTATACACAACTGAGTCTCAGTCATTTAAAAACACTGACTTTTTTGAGCTGGAAGAAACTTTGGATTTTATTCTAAGATAACATTTTATTATGTAAATACACATTTAAGGGACTACCCAAGCAAAACATCCTGTTAGTAATACTCATTTCCCGTATGGAATTATTAGTTAATTTGAAACCCTGACAGATTTTAGGTTCTGGAAAATTCTGCCATCTTAACATGGTCACATCAGAAAGCAGATTATTAATTTAACCATTAGAGATAAAGGGTATTCGAAGAACTTTCAAGATGTTTTTATCTGTAGTATTGTCATTTTCTTTTTTAAGTATAAGAAAGTCCAGAATCAAGTTTTAATGGAACCGTTGAGAAAACAAGGATTACTGTTGGAAAATGATAAAGTTCACAGATTGAAAAACCCTTATTAAGAGAAAAATAGTAGCTAGTACAGTAAGTATAGTAATTTCAGTATGTATGTGAAGAATTAGGTGGATATGAAGTTAATCTGGCTATAGTATGTTATGTCATCCCATTGGTTACTGGAATTGATTTAACTGAAGAACCCGAAATGGAACATTTGTTTATTTACTCTGGAAAAATACTTCGTATCTACGCCTGCTATGTAGCATGCCAAGCACTGGGCATGGAAGGGGTTATGGTCAAGGTGAGGACATACAGGTAAAAAAGTCAATAAACAGAAGATTGTCCACTACCATACATTAGTCCTGTCTTCAGGGATCAGTGTTTGAACATTACACAACAGTTCGATAAAAATAATGATTTGTAGCATGCCGCGTGAAGTAACGTGTGTAATGCCTGCCCCATAGTCAGAGCCATAGCAAGTGTAACCTGGTCAGTGTTCGCTCGAAGTGTGCTTACCCACGTCAAGAATCATAAATGGGAATGAACAGCTCCAACTGAAAGAGTTGGGGAAGAATCCGTGGCAGAGGAGACATTTCAAGTAAGTTTTGAAGAGAACTTAAGATTTTAAGGTGGAGAAGAAGAAAAAAGCATTGCAGGCAGAAGAGGCTGAGTGGTGAAGACATAAAAAGGTGTGTTTTAGAAAATGCTCAGAGTTCAAGAGGAAAGTGGCTGGTAGGGAGGCCAAAAAGATGTGTGCGTGGCTGTTGGTTTGAATTTTCGCCATTAGGTGGGGACCACTGACCTGTTTTTGAAAGGATAGTAACATCGTGGGAGATGAACTAGAAAAAAGTGAGACAGACTAATTAGTGATTTTGCACAGATTCAAGAGAGAAATAACTGAAGTAAGACTGAATTAAGGCAGAGCTAGTGGGCATACGGGAGTGGGGCTAAGGTACAGTTGTCTGAAAAAGAATTCATTTAATTGAGAGAATTAAATGTTCTCTTGTGCTGACCGCTGTGAGGATGCTTTTACTGGCCTGATCAGGGTGGAAACTAGATTTAATGTGTTAAAGAGTTAATAGAGACTGTTTGAAGATAGACTGTTCTTTTCAAGAACTTGAGAGTGAAGTAAAGTGGGAAGGTAGTATGAATATGACATGTTTGGGACAGGTTTTAGTGTGGATGAGATGGATAAACTTAGAGGAAGTGAATGAGTTCCATTTAAACATGGGGCATTGAGTTGCCCGTGGGACTTTCAGATGGAGTTGTGCAGTAGGCAGTTGTAAATGGATGTTGATCAGCGAGAGAGAATAGGATGCATAGATTTGAGTCATCGGTAAAAAGATGTAATTTAAATCAAAGAAGTAAGTAGTGAAGATTGGGCTAAGACCTGAGAGAGATTACTTAGTATTTGTTGGGATACATTTATTCATTTA